GTTAACTGGTGCGTTCCGCCGGTATAGGGTCTCTAAGGTAGGGCGGGTTGTTGAATGGGTTTACATACCTTTTCTAAGTTTAATTTACAATTAGGCATTTTTCGAAATTATGAGGTTTAACAAACCTTTGTACAAGTTGACGAGAATAATGTGTGCTACGATTCAGCAAAGTGATTTTAACTCGAACGTATTTTCCCAAAACGCGCACACATCCTCTCCTCCTCATTTTACAAAAGACACAAACTGTGCTGAGAGCATCGGTTGATTAAGCATTGTACAAAGTTAAATTAGTTTGCATTTAAGGTCATTAGAATTGATTTGCCTCCCAGGTGAAACTGATTAGTTCGGTGAGAGTTTGCGAGATAAGGTGACATTTTGAATCGTTTGTCTTAAACGCAATCCCGGCTAGCAGGGTCTCGGCAACATATTCCCTCCAAACTCCGGTGAAACGTTAACTTTAATTGCATGTAAATAACATCCATTGCCAGTACGATGTGTGCTAATATTGTATGGCCGCACAACTATCAAACTGAAGTCGATCTACGCTTGTAATTTTAACCGTGGATATGTATCTGGACTCATAGATGAATTGCGGAAAATCGATTGTTTAGTGATTAACTCTAATAAAACAACCATAGTCGCTTTTACACGTAAAAGAAAATTGGATTCACATGAGGCAGATAACACCCAATAATACTATAATAGAAATGAAGAAAGAGGCCAAATTCCTAGACAAAACATTAGCATTTGAAGAACATACGGGATCCACTAAGAAAAAAAAATCCAGACCGGAAACTTTGCTTACGATGTATGCCATGATGATGAGCTCTATTCTCACATATGCCGATAAAGTAGAACAAATAACAAGACGAAGAGAACTCACAAATGTACAGAGGCATCCTTCTGTATGACAGGAGCGATGAGACCATGTCCACGACTGGTATAGAGAAGATACTTGGATTAACCCCCCTCCATCACATGATAAAATGAGGACATCACAGAAAACTATTATTAGTATTGTCAAAGAGAAGCCTCCAATTGGAATTAAAATGGAGAAATAGCAACAGTTTAATCAAAGACCACCCGATACTCATATCCCCAGAGATAGCATGAACAGGAAGATCGAGTTTAACGAAAAATTTTCAAATAAACTTATGTACAAAAAAGAATTTGAAGAACTCCTTTAAGAATGGCCCCATTTACTTGGTACACAGATGGATCTAGAACGCAAGAAGATGCAGTGGCAAGATATTGGGTCGTGGAACCAAAAACGCAGAATCCATAGGAAAATACACCAGTATCTTCGAAGCTGTAGGATGTACCCAATTCAATTTGAATAAAGGGTACAAAAACAAAAATATAGCTATCATGTCAAATAGCCAAAGCGCTGAGTTCAAACAGCATTAGCTCAAAGATGGAGCTGAATTGCAATACCAAACTAAACAAATTAGATATGGAAAACATAATCAGCTCTGCTGGGTCCCAGGACACGTGGGAGTAAAAGACATGGAAAAAGCGGATGTTTTTGCAAGGAGAGGGGAGGACCCTTCTGTGGCATAGGAATCCACACTATCAATGAGCACCTCAGACAGAAGGATAAAAAGAAAATAAGGAAACAATGGAACTCACTCATTCCTACAAATAATCCAAGAACCTCCTAACAAACTTTGGAAGGAAAGAGGTAACAGAATACTTTAAAGGAAGCAGGCACAAACTGCAAATCCTTACAGGACATTGCAAACTAAATATACATCTGAAGAAGATTGGCATAACCCAACACGGCACGTGCAAATTCTGCAAAGAAGCACACCGGCAGAAGAGACACCAACACACCTACTAACAAACTGTGGTGCTACACAAAGCCCGCAGGAAGAAGGGAATTGGGACGTACAATGTAACCGTAGAAGAGATTCAACCGGTGTGCTGTAAGCACAGAACGGGGGATACATCAGCTGTTAACGGCGCAGTATAATATACACCCCGACTAATACATCTATCTATCTATACGTCTTAGATCTAGGTAACAGTACATTTTTGTGTTATAGAAAGAAATTTTATGGTATTTAACAACAATAATGAAATTTTTTTTAAAAAATTTACTTATAAATAAAATAATTCATAAATCAAAATAAAAAAATAGGACTAAGTGCATAATTGGTAAAAATAAAAATTTCGAGATACTTTCTGCCCGTAAAAAACCCCTTGGCTAAAAATAAAGGGGCGGTTGAGTGGACTAAGTGAGAGATTGAAAATTTATAGTGGCATAAATTCACTTCCAGGAGCACCTATCCGTCTATTGCGAGATGAAAACCGAGAAAATAAACTTTTAGGGTAATTGTCATTGCACTTTTTTTGTAGGCCGCCACCGCTCGTCACTTTCAGTCCGCCGATTCTACATTTCCGGCAGACCCCTTCAACTTCCACGAGTTGTTGCTGCTTTATTAAGGCTGACGCGTATATTTGGATCGATCTCACTGAACTCTCCATATTTCGTGTTCCCTTTCCCACGAGTTTCAAAAAGAAAATCCGAAAAAGAAAAAGTCGACCCCGGAGGTAAAATTTCAATACTGCCATGGTGGATTCGCTAAATAAAACGAATTTCAGTGCCACGAGAATAAGGTTTCTATCTTGACTCTTTCCTGAGATTAACATTTTTGTTATTTTCGTCTAAAATCAGATTTTTTTACATAAAAATCGTAATTTCTCAACTGTAGCGTCATTAAAACACAAATCTGACCTTTATTTCCCTAACTACTTTAAATTTTCCACAAGATAACATTAAAAATTCGCGCTTTCGAATACACAGTAGCCGTTTAAAAGAATAACAAATGGCAAAACCATTTTTTATTTTTTGTATTTTTTTTTTTTTTTTGGAAATACTCTATTTAGGCTCGTACAATAAATTTTCCATCAAAACTTTCGGGGTTTTCACCAAAGAGCCCTTATTTTATAAGTATTCCAACTGACATGCTCACTTTTACATTTTTTTAAACTTTTATTAGTGAAATCTCATTTTCAAATTTGAAAAACGTGATATCGAACCCAATGAGAGCAGCAACCCAAGAACAACTTACATGACATAATTTTAATAAAAACATTTATTAGCTGGTAACAAAAATTAGATCTATTCTAATTTTTCTAAATACAACTATGTATCTATTTTTTTATTATCAACAAATAAATGTTCTTATTAAAATAAGACATGTACGATGTTCTGGGTTGCTGTTCTCCTTGGTTTCGGTATCTCGTTTTTCAACTTTACAAAGGAGGTTTCACTGAGAAAAGCTTAAAAAAATGTAAAATTGGGTATGATAATGGGAATATTTAAAAAATAAGGCAACTTTGGTGAAATTACCAAAACTTTTGATGGAAAAGTTATTGTACGAGCCACAATTGACTATTTTCAAAAAATATAGGTTTTGCCATTTGTTATTTTTTGAGTGGCTGCTGTGAATTCGGAAGCGCGAATTTTTAAAGTAAATGTTGTTAGCTTGTGGAAAATTTGATATAGTTTGCGAAATAAAATACAGATTTGTATTTTAATAAGTCAAAACTTGAGAAATTACGATTTTATGTTTTAAAAAAACTGATTTTACAATAAAACAGCAAAAATGTTAATATCGCAGGAAATTCTAGTTGACGTTGATCGACCTACGTAGTTTAAACTGATGTTGTATTGAGGTCATGACCTCAAGAAGATCCAATACAACATCAGTTTATCGCAGGAAAGTGTCAAAATAGAAACTTCGTTCTGGTGGCACTGAACTACGTTTTATTTAATTCACTATTTTCGTGGTCCGCTTGACCAATTAATACAAGACAATTAATTAAGGTTTTTTTTAGTTGAAATGAAAAAAAGCTAATGGCACGAGAGGGATTCGAACCCACGACCTTCGGCTAGATAGGCCGCTGCTCTACCACCTGAGCTATCGTGACCTCGATCCACTTGGACACTAACTTCCCATCTCAACCCCACCTTTTGAATTTTCAATTGTTCAACTATTTAGACATTTAACCCTTTAACATTATGTATAGTACAGCATACAGGTAATATGGCCTGGTATGTGATGAGAGCAGATGTGTCCCAGGTCATTGCAACCATAAGATAAACCATTCAATACATAGTCTGAGAAGAAAAATACAGAGGACCTAGCGGTTTGCCGGCAAAAAAAAATTATATACGTTTTCGGGCAAATTTCGGTCCACAAGTACTAATTGAAAGAAAATAATGTTTAACAAATAAAACATAAATAAAGTTTGATATGTTGACGCTTGAAGCAATAATGCTCAAAAAAAAAAAAAAAAAAAAAAAAAAAAAAAAAAAAAAAAAAAAAAAAAAAAAAAAAAAAATTGAAATGTTTTAGTACGTACTTAACACATCACACTAAAGTTTAGGTTTTACATTTTTGAACTTACTGTGAAAATCGTAAAAACGGCTCTTTCGTTACACGAAAAGTGGAGTTGATGATTGATGTGAAAAGTGGGCCGATATGTGCACCAGGATGAATCGCGCTTTAATGACTACGTATTAATTAATATAATAATTACTGAAGTAATTGCACTTCGCAATCCGCTCCTCGTGGACACTTTTTTCTCACCGAGCTATTAATACCATATACAATAAACCAACCATGTTTCATCCAAAAATCTGAACATGGAACCCAATGATTTTCTGCCATGCTCGAGCACAATTCTCTTATAGGGTGGCATTCCTACTCTCTCCCTATATGGAGCCAAGGAATGACACTTTTCAATTATGTGGGACACGTGTGTGACGATTAGTGACCGTTAGTTGATAATTATTCAGAAATCGTGAGATGCGGTCTGGGGGTGCCAGACCGCATCTCGCGATTTCTGAATATTTATGTGGGACACATTGTGCAACCTTTCTCTTCATGCTGTACAAGTACGAAATTTCGTGTGTCAAGTTTTATTACAAAATCAATTATGAAAAGACCCAGAAGAGATATTAATTGAGGAAAAATTTAAATTTTAATTACCAGCCAGATGCGTTGACGATCGTGTTGATGAGCGACCAATGTCACAATCGCTACAGGTGGCGGGTCAAACGTGTACAATCGATTGCCCTGCCACCCAAATAATCGGATCGTCATGTTTCTAGATACACAGCACACGAGACGTCTCGCAGAAATAGCCGACATTACATTCAACAACATTCGACAAACGTTTAACTACCTTTTTGAATTTAGAAAGAAATCTCGAAACGTTTTAATTTAATGAATGTGTACTGTGAAAAGTGTCGATGGTAGCAAGAATCGATTACTAGTTAGCCTCGGCGTCTCCTACGACTCTTCAGGCGACAGCATGTGGTTGTAATTGTTGTTCTATCTTGTATGTTTACTATCTTTGATTACAACAATTAAACCTACAATAACCAACATCGAGTGTTGCAGGTCGACGAGGAAAGATCACGCCGGTTTTGTGTCCTTCGTTTGGCCTTGAAGTTCGACGCTTCGAAATATAAAAACGGTATGTCCTCGACTTTGAGTCTTTGAGGTTTGTTTTGTTTGTGTTTTATCTATCGACCATGGGAGTACCAGCGTTTTTTAGATGGTTGACGAGAAAGTACCCGTCCGTGGTGGTAGAATGCGTCGAGGAGATGCCGAAGGACAGGGACGGGGAGGAGACGCCCGTAGACTCCTCCGAGCCGAATCCGAACGGAGTGGAGTTCGACAACCTGTACTTGGACATGAACGGGATCATCCACCCTTGCACCCACCCAGAAAACAAGCCCGCCCCCAAGAATGAGGACGAGATGATGGTGGCCATTTTCGAATGCATCGACAGGCTTTTCAAGATTGTGAGACCGCGTAAAATCCTCTACTTGGCCATCGATGGAGTTGCACCGAGAGCTAAGATGAATCAGCAGCGGTCGAGGAGGTTCCGCGCGGCGAAGGAAGCGACTGAGAAGGCAGAACAGATGAACAAGATCAGGACGGAACTGTTGTCCAAAGGCTACACCCTGCCGCCTGAAAAAGAGTGCGGATCCCATTTCGACAGCAATTGTATTACACCAGGTACCGGGTTCATGGCTCGTCTCACGCAGTGTCTCAACTATTACATACATGAGCGTCTCATGACAGATCCCGGTTGGAAAGGGCTCAAAGTGATACTGTCTGATGCGAGCGTACCGGGTGAAGGTGAGCACAAAATTATGGATTTCATCAGAAGACAAAGGGCGCTGCCGAACCATGACCCGAACACCCACCATTGTCTCTGTGGTGCGGATGCTGATCTTATTATGCTGGGTTTGGCCACCCACGAACCTAATTTTACAATTATTCGAGAGGAGTTTCAAATGAACCAGCCTAAGAAGTGCGATATATGCTCACAACCTGGCCACGAGATGAAAGATTGCAAAGGGCTGGACACAGTGAAAGATCCTGAACTGTGCAACGATTCCATGTTTGTAGGTAGTGGGACGAAATATATCTTTGTTCGATTGAATGTCTTGAGGGAATACCTAGAAGAGGAATTGAAAATGCCCGATTTACCATTTGAATACAACTTTGAAAGAGCTTTAGATGACTGGGTTTTTATGTGCTTTTTTGTAGGAAATGATTTTCTACCACATTTACCATCACTTGAAATAAGAGAAGGAGCAATCGATCGTCTCATTAATCTGTATAAAAAAACAGTTTATAAAACAAGAGGGTTTTTAACAGATAGCGGTGATGTTGATCTTGAAAGAGTACATTTAATAATGTCCGAGCTAGGCGAAATGGAAGATGAAATTTTCAAGAGGAGACAAAAAAATGAACTCTCATGGAAACTCAAGACTAAACAAAGAGAGATGAATAACTCGAATTGTAACATCAGGAAGTCGTACGCCGAGCTTATGGAAGAGGTATTACAAGAAGAAACTGGAGATGATGTCAAACTTTATGAAGAAGGATACAAAGATCGTTATTACAAACTTAAATTTGGACTCAGCCAGTATGAGATACCCACCAGAGAGAAAATTGGTTGGGAGTATGTCAAAGGACTCTGCTGGGTTTTAAAGTACTATTATCAAGGTTGTGTGTCCTGGAATTGGTATTTCCCTTACCATTATGCTCCGTTTGCTTCTGACATTGTAAATAACAGGGAGGACAACCCAGTATTTCCAGAGAATACCACACCATTCTCACCTTTAGAACAATTAATGGGAGTTTTCCCTGCTGCTAGTGGTAATCTCGTCCCGCCAACTTGGGCCGAACTCATGACCGACCCATGTTCCCCGATTCTTGATTTCTATCCGAAAGATTTTATGATAGACCTTAATGGCAAAAAATACGCTTGGCAAGGTGTAGCGCTTTTGCCTTTCGTGGATGAACAGAGGCTGAAAGCCGGTTTGAAGCAAGTCTATGGAGATCTCACTGAGGAAGAACGAGAAAGGAATATGAGAGGAAATGACCGCTTGTACATAAACATCGGGGCAGATTGTTTCGACTTTGTGAAACTTCTGAATCCGAAGAACAATGTAGATAACGCTGTAGATTTGAACGCTGTGGGAATACAGGGAAAAATTTTTGTCAATAGTAGAGAATATTTCCAGGGGAAAACTGTATGGTCTCCAGTTCCAGGATTGGAACATGTGAAAAACAACAGTGTACTTTGTGTGGCTTTCGTCGATCCAAAATATCCTACAAAACACAAATTCATGGCCAACAGGCTCGATGGTGCAGTCGACCCGCCAAGGACGTTGAAGAGCGGCCAAGGCAACAATAGACCTATGATCGGGTTTGTGCAACGTAGAGACAGGGACTATATGGACGATTCGGGCCACCGTATGATTCACCACAATTTACCCCCTTGCCACAGTTATATTCCACTCGGGCCACAAGGGAACCCCTGGAGGTCTGGCCAAAACGAATATCAGCACAATCGAAACCAACAACAAGGGCGCGGCAACATGTACCAAGGTAGAATGAACAATAACTTCCGTGGAAGGAGTTATGATGACAACCGACAACAAAATCAAAACTCTTATAATCAACCAGCTCCCGGACAAAGAATGAGGCCCAATAACTCATATGGCTAAAACCAGCAGACTCAACGCTACACACCCTACAACAGAAATAAAAGAAGATTCCAACAATAATTGCATATACTGAGGAACAACAACAAAAAAAAGTAGATTTTATTAACATTAATTACTTTCCTTACATTTGAATATTTGTTTTATTCATGTACAAATAAAATATATATATTTCTCTCTCTCTCTCTCTCTCTTTTTAATTACTCTGTTTGCAATTAGAAACTAATAATGTTAATAATTGTGTTAAGTTGTAAGTCCCCCTTTGATTCAGAGAAAGTTATGAAGCAGTTCGATCTTGCAAAATAAGCTACATTTATGTAGTATATGTAAGAACTATTTACTATTATTATTATAGTAAGGTTGAACCAGAAGGTTTCGGCCAATACTGAAATAGTAAGGCAAAAAAAAACAAGGTTCGGTTTGTTTGCATGTATTCACTTTTGTAAACCAATGTTTACTGTTCATTTGTTGAACAAATCTAATATATTGTCAGATTTGTCAATGTTTGAAGTGAGGTGATCATGAAGTTTGGCCCTTTTAATGACAGATCAAAAGAAAAAATATTGGCAGGCCAACAGCTAGAAACTGCCAAATTTCATTTTTATTAGAAATTATTTTTATACCAAAAAAAAATTAAAATAATAGCAAATATGACAATTCCTATTCTTAAAATTAAGCCCAATAATAGTGAAAAGAAAGTTACAAATTTTAAATCTGAAATTTATTTTTTATCCAATGGTTTCCATTTTATTAAAAGAACTCTGTAATAATAATTAATTATAAAATTGTGTATTAATTAAATTAATACTACCCTGCTAAGAAGAAATGCTACATCTACTGTTTTGAGAAATTCAACTGAAAATTTTCATGCTGAATGACCTCAATAAAGTTGCCATATTTTTCTTAAGTTTTCAGCCTTATAAGATTAACATCTTATAATCCTGAATTTATAACTTATTTATTGACTCACTCTAATTTTATGATTTTTTATATATATAAAAAAAAAATGTTTCGTTAAATTTAACTAAAAAAGATTTGTGGTAATTAATTAAGCAAAAGAACATATCTGAAAAGATAATGTTTTTTTACGTACATTGTTTTTTCTAAGGATTTAGTTGAGATGAAAAAGCTAGTGACATGAGTGGGATTCGAACTCATGACCTTCGGCTAATACGGCACTGCTCTAACCATAGTTGAAGGTCGTGGGTTTGAATCCCACTCGTGACACTAGCTTTTTCATCTCAACCAAGACCTTAAATAAAAAATATAATTAATTATTACGACTACTAAATATGTGTATGGACTATCGTGATTTTTGAAGTATTGAGCTGAAGGTTGGGGTTCAAATCCTGCTCATGACACTAGCTTTTTCATCTCAACCAAGGCGTTGGATAAAAAGTAGAATTAAAATAATTAATACGGTCAATAATGACTTCTTAAAAAAATATAATGTGATCTGCGATCAATATATTTTTATCTACGAATGAGCAACAAAAGTCACATTTTTGTTCAAGATTTAAAAAAAAATACGTTCAGGAAAAGCGTTATATAGAGGAATACAATGGAGGGTAGAAAAAATAAAAAATAGCACAAGCAAAAAAATCTGGTTCTTGAAAGACCCATGATGGCGGTGCCAGTATTAAGAATTTAATTAAATGTATTGTATTTTCAGGAGAAATCCAGAACTAAATTTAAAAAAATACAGTTTTACAAACAGTTTATATTTTATTTAATTACATGATTTAATTATTGTTCTACTAAAATTTTGTGGTACTAACACAAAGGATGGATAAAGGAAGTTGTGTGTTGTGTAACAGACATTGATTTATATTATTAAACATTTCTTTACAATTTATTGCTACTTATATTTGTTCAGGAGTAACAAAACGATCATTTCAAATATACAATAATTTACTTATTCATAAAGAAAACATTTTCTGTATAAAAATAATATATATTCAAACAGCAAAAATATATCAGTAATAATGAAAAACATTAAATCTAAGTAGGATTTGAGACAAAGTTTATTCTTGTAAAGAAAAAATCAATAATCAAAAATGTAAAAATTTAAATGAATGGAATTATGAACATAATGATTTATATGATATATGTTTATCATATTTATCTATATATTTATATGATGATGTGAACGTATGATTTATTGAAACGGACTCACTTGCAGGTCCTTTACTCTCCAATTCAATATTTTTAATAGTCTTTTGTAAGGCAAACATCTGAGAAATTTATTTGAACATGTTTACTATGACAAAATATCCAATTTTAAACTCAAAGAGTCTTCGTGAATATTAACAAATTAACACATTTTTATAAAATGTATTTGACAACATCTACAATAAAAGCCATTTTTATCATGAGACATTTAAAAGCACAAATAAAAAAAATATTAAGTCTATTCATTACTTACGAGACCCGAACAATCTTATACGTGAATTTTTTTAAACAATTATAATTAGTTTCTATGAGTTAGCCAGTCTTAAAATTCCATCCCGATAAAGCGTTATAATTATGCTATATAATCATAAAACCTATAAAGCATCCGATTTATTCAAAATCGACAAACCCACAGATAATTTGAACGATGGTGTAACTAGATAAGTGAAGTTAAAATCGTTTAATATTTACTCGTGACTTAATAGAATATGTACCAAAAAGGAAAACAGCAGTTGGTTGTTTATCATTTTTTATGCTTGGTAAATTGCAAATTGGCATGAGCAAACACACAGCCAATCTTCATGCAGGAAAAAATATACTTGCACTTAATAATTCTAAATTAATTATACTTTTTATCTGAGGTCTTTGTTGAGCTGAAAAAGGTAATGTCACAAGCGGGATTCGAACCAACAACCTTCACCTCGTTACTAGGTTTTTCATATCAACCAAGACATTATTTAAAAGGTATAATTAATTTAAATAATTAATATGGTCAATTATGACTACCAAATACAAATATGGATTAATAAAAATACTTGGCGATAATCTAACAAGGTTAAAGGAGAAAACTTTTTAAACCTTTTTCACAGTCCAGTACTCCATCACCCTACTTGACTGAAAGGTATGTAAATAAGAAAGAAGAAATGTAAAATTTAATGTGTTTAGGTTAAAACTGCATTTGTTGAGTGCTGAAATGACTTTGCCGATACCCCTTGGCACAACTGTTGGGTGATTCTTGCAGCTTGCCATGAGAAGTTATGCTCGGTTCTACTCATGTGCACAAAACAATTTAAAAATATCGTTTTTTTATATGTAAAACTTTTGTTTAATAATTACATAAAACTTTTATTTCTATTGTGTTAATGTTTTCATACCTATGGATAAAATAATAGTAAATTCATTTAACTGGTCTAAAATGCGTTTAAATCAGAAATATTGTCCAAAATTGTTCGGAGCATTAATAGGAAAAATATCAATAGGAACATTTTCTTCTTCAACCTTGTCATTTATATATATATCATAATAATGATAATAAGAACACCATAACATAATATAAAATAATGTTTAAAAGTTCTTACATTATTGATATGATTATGAACAATTAACAGGATCTGAAATTTTACAGTCTAAACTCTATTTACTAATAAATATATAAACAAGCAAAGTAATTCATGTGTAACTACTTTTGGCTTGCGTTTTTTATTGTGTAGCTTATAAACAAATATGCGCATATAAACAAATTGTTTCTGCTGTTAAAATCATTTGTACTGAATTATTGTGCATCACCATTGGGATGAAAAATAGCCTTTTACTTCCAAAATGCGGTTAATATTGGGTTTTAACAATTACATCAAGCAATACGGGGACGTCGAGGTATTGGCGTAGGTACTCACTGACTTTTTAGGAATCATATAATATAAATGCATTAATTTTATCTTTATATTTTGTCAAATCAAAAGTATTGATAAACAGTATAACATATCAATTTTGGTCTTATTTCATATATTTTCATCTCATTTCTTGACGGATTTTTTTTCTTGTCTCAAAGAAATGTCGATTTGGTTTAATAAGGAAAAACCTGGATTGAGTTATTTCACTCGTTTTCTTATTAAAAACAGAAACTGGTAATTCTGCCTAATTCTGTAAAATTAATATGTACAACTATTTTAATATTACTCAGCTCGCATGCCAAGGTGCCTTTTCTATTCGATGCCATAGTTTAAAACTCTGGACTGCTTCTGTTTGTTCGGTGAAGGTTGAACATTGTTATTTCGAATGACTTCAACATTTAAGCAATCCTCTTTTGCTCCTCTGAAAACCAAAACAAAGGTTGCTAATACAATTGGGCAAAAACAATTTTGTTATTACATATCTTATTCAAAAAGTTACAAAAGAACGTTTATTTATTTATTTATTTTTTCCAAACAAGCTATGAGATAACACAGTGATAATCTAGCATTGTGGTAAAAAAGACCAAAACCGTTTGGATAGAAAAGGTCTATATCTGCCTGTTACTAATAAATAGTTCCTTCAGAAAGTAAGATTTGAACATTGACTGCATCCTGTGCTTGGCCTTTGTGGTTGTCCACAGCGGAACCCAATTTATAATAAAAAATAGTTCTTTGATATATTTGTGAGCAAACAAATTTTCTTTTGTTTAGGATGACCAAAAGCTATGCCTCGTGGCCAAATACACCTGGCAAGGTAGGCCTGAGTCACTTTCACCCTCTGTTAGATCATGGAGAAAAAATCGTCAAATATTAATGTTTTAATAATTTACTTAAAGGATTTAAACTCCTTGCCATAAAACATCTTATTTATTAAAATAATCCAAAATAATAAATAATTAAATGAAAAGCTTACAGATATCTTGTAACATCTTCTATGTCGACTAACATAGAATCTTGTGACATATGGAGCTCATCTCGTTCCATCAGCAGAGTAACAAGGCTTTCATTCAAATCTGGAAAAATTCAATGTTTAGATGTTATCACCCATAACAGAATAAATATAAGTAAAAAAAGTTGTTCTCAACTATATTAATAATTCTCAGATTCAAAGAACATCTTCAATCCTTCGGAGACAGTGAAGGAAAATCAAATTACGCCACACATCGTTAAAAAAACTACATAATAAAAAATGCAAAAGTTCAGAAAAAACAATCGAAACTAATACCGGAAAAAAATACTATCATGCACAAATACCTGAAAACAAAAATAACGGTTATCACGATTGACCAATGAGCACCATGGCCACGCCCCCTAACGCAACGCCCCCAGCGACAAGCGACGAACCCAACGACTATAACCCCTACTCAGAAAGTGACAGACAGTTTAGTTCTCACTGAAGAAGGCGCAAGGCCGAAACGCGCTCAAACCAGCGAGTGTAGACGGACCCAGTAAGTGACCCTGTGCCGGTTCAACATGAGTTCACCGACTCGCAGACCGAAACCCAAGGTAAAGTTGCTTAAAATACAATAATTTGTCTAATTAGTTAAAATTCCGCACAATGCAAAGATGAAGCAGCAACAATAGATTCAAATAGCCTCTTTTTCGTTTCTAATGAACACGATCTAACCTTTATTAAAACATCTCTAGACGTCCCAATTGCTCTCAAACCTTTATTAAATGAACAGTTGAACTTTATAACCCTACTAAACATTACTGACTGACATTAACATTACTGATATTAATAACCCACTAAATGCAGAGGTATTCCGTGTCAGAATGATGTCGCAAAGATTTTTTCTTGCTTCCTGCTTAGAAGGATAGAAATTTATTTGATGCCAACGGTTTACAAGGTGTAAGTCAAATGGGGTTTAGAAAATGGTTTTCGAGTAGTAACAATCTATCACGACAGTACAACAGGCTTAAAAATAATATTGGCCTATTTGAACAGTGGAAACAAACAGTTAAATTTAGAAAAGTCCAAAATCATAAAAATCATAGTGTTTAGGTGAGGGGTAGGTTAAGTTCGCAAGATCTTTTTTTTAAGTGCTCTCTCATTGATAATAGTAAATAAATACCAAATTTAGGAATCATATTTATTCCAAAGAAAAGCATCAGTGGCTAACTTAGTTCTAAATTAAAGTCATGTTTAATATTTTTAATGTGATATGTCGTGTAATTCTGTGTTATGGCTGTCAAATGTGGGGTTATCAGAAATTCGAAACAATAGAAAAAGTGCAACGTTTTATTATAAGGAAGTTATTCACATTGCAATTTGATACACCAAACTATACAATGTATTTACAGACCAATATGGATTTAATTTTGATGTATATACATAAGCTTCACTACTCCTATATTGTGAAAGCTCTGATTTCTCGCGATACAAGATACTCAAAAATTACATCTTCGGCGGTAATAAAGTCTAATATTTCATGGTTTGCACACTGGAAATATTTTCTTGAAAAGTACAACTTTCCCTTCCTCCTATCCTTGGACAACGTCTGTCACTGGCATCATTATTTTTCAGTTTTTATTAGTCAAATCAACATCACGAGGAATGCCGGTCACATGTCCAAGCATCTATGCATCTCTGCCTTTACAAAGAAGTACAAATTTCTCTTGCATTGTTTGACTTACATAAAGACAATTTTTATGGTCTTTGTCTCAATGAGTTGTGATGGCTATTTAAGCTAAGAAGTGAGGTTTTGCACTTAAACTCGGCTGTTTGGATTAGAGGGGAATTTGGAATCTGTTCTTTGGATAATTCACATTCTATTGAAACTATTCCATTTCTTGGTGTAAATTTTCCTGGATGAAATTCGGTAATTGCATCTTGGATGTTTCACTATACCCAGAGTTGACCTGTTACGGTTTTTGAATGGATCAAATTCACGGCCCTTAATTTGTTACGCTAGGCATGCATGGAATTACAGATATGATTAATTAAGGAGTTTAATTTTTGATTTGTATTGTCTAACCTGTTTTTCTTTTCTTTCTTTCTTTCTCATTTTAAGAGTATGAGTATTTCTCTTTTCTTTAAGTTTTTTTTTCAAAGCTGTTATTATCTTACTTTATTCTGTATTTTTTCCTTTCTGATTGTTTAACCAATGTCCTATGGCAGATGGAGCCAAATTTCATGTTTATAAATGCTTTGAAAGCACATTTGTCATTTTTTTTTAAGTTCAATAAGGCATTATTATTATTAAACATTACTGAAACTGATTTGGACATGCAGGCTAGAACTGTGGGGCACAGCTACCGACCAATATCCAATGAATTCAGTCCTTCCAATCCAAAGTCCTCAGAAACATAGTCAGCAGTTCCTACTCTCCAATGTCACATAACCTTTCACAACGACCTCAAAATGCCCTTTGTAAATAAGTTAATCTCCACCAAATTTCCATTTTCCATGAAAAACTAATTTCACATCCTAATACATCAGCCCGATCCAAGACCAACATTACCCATCCCACAACCCAGTATGGGTATTGAAGTGGGGATGGCACTTATGAATAGTTCATAAATAACTATTCAGGATATTGGGAGAGCAACAATGGCTGCTCGCTCCGCTCAGGATACTTGCAAATGATAAATACCGTATCACATATTTGTACAGATGGTAATAAATAATAATATAATAATAATAATTTCACTAATTTCGTGGTCCGCGTGACCAATTAATATATTACAATTAATTAAGGTTTTCAATTGAGATAAAAAAGTCAATTGCACGAGCGGGATTCGAACGCATGATCTTCGGCTAGATACACCGCTGCTCTACCACTTGAGCTATCGTGACCTCGATCCACTCGGACACTAACTTCCCATCTCAACCCCACCTTTTGAATTTTCCCTCCTTTTTGATTAAATAATAATAATAATAAAAACTAAATGGTACACCTAAATATGTAATAGTACATGTATATAATTACATTCAATTTGAGAATGAAGATCATTAACAATTACTTGAAGTTGAGCTACGTTCATGTCAGTGAGAAGTTGCCTCGTTAGTCTTCTCCTTTCTTCAGATAAACTAACTCCCACCTGAAATAAATATACATGAAAATAAACCCAAATGGCAACAAAAAAAAATTAGGGAAAAAATGTGTTTGATGAATGTCAAGTTACCTTTTTCAGGCTATTTCGCAGCATTTCTGTGATCGAGTTGTCTTTTCTGCTCGAGCGTTCGGCTTCCATCTGAAGACGAGCTCTGTCCTTGGCTTGAGACAATTCGTACTTAGCCTCGGCTTGCAACTGGGTCTGTTTTGTGAAAAAGTCTTCTGCTTGTGAATTTGGATATCGGGCAGATAATGTTTGTTTCAAATTTGGCTATACAGTTACCAAATAAAATACAATGAGTCACAAAACACGGAAACTCACAAGTTAAGCTCTTAAAAAATGTATAAAATAGTAAAGTCCAATATATTTAGATAAAATGTCAGGTTGAGGGGGGTATTTGATAAATAATTATAAACAAAGGTATGGTTTAAGTGCACAGGGTATATTGGATTCTTAAGATTATTCTGCAGTAATAACTAATTTAATTTTAATAACCGTTTAAGCCAAAACAAATAATTTATCTGTACAACCAATAGTAAAACATAGTTAGTTAAATTCACTAATTTTGTGGTCCGCTTGACCAATTAATATATTACAATTAATTAAGGTTTTTTCGTCAAGAATCCAATCCGATTACACGACATTTGAAAAATGGCAAAAAGGAGGGAAAATTCAAAAGGTGGGGTTGAGATGAGAAGTTAGTGTCCAAGTGGATCAAGGTCACGATAGCTCAAGTGGTAGAGCAGCAGCCGAAGATCGTGGGTTCGAATCCCGCTCGTGCCATTGACTTTTTTAATCCAACTAAAAAACCTTAATTAATTGTAATAGTTAGATAATTTTATTTTTAATTATCATTTTAGCAGCACAATAACTTCAAAATAAATTAAAATAGAACTCAACAAACATTATTAAATAACACGTTAAATGCCGTTTTTTCCCTTTTTGTTCAAATTGCATAACTGTTATACACTATAACAATATGGCATATGAGTGAAATCATGAATCTGGATCATGGTGTGGTTTAGATAAAAAAGCAAATTCAATTGTTACTGTCAAGCTTTCAGTTCATTTTAAGGTTATCCATCAGGGCAAAAAAAAATTAAATATGTCTACCAATTGACATAATAAATTTTTTAATGGAAGATTTCAAATTTCTTTGAAGAACAACTCACAAATTGATGTAGAATACGGCATAAGGGCAAAATTTTGGAGTAGAGGATTGGAAGTACAAGAAAAAAATAAAGGTTTGCCAGTGCTTTTCAACTGTTGTGGGTTAACTGTCTAGATTTAAAGAAAAGGGCTGAGTACACTGGACACGTAATCTGTGTACAAACCCAATACTGTTACAGTCCTTGGTAATGTTTGAACTAAGTTGGTTTTGAAAAAAATTTGAAATCATCTATTAAAAACTTAATAAATCAAATTAGATCAAAGTAGACATATTTAATATTGTTTTGCCCTGATGATGACCTTAAAATAAATCAAAAGTTTGGCAGTAACAATTTAATTTGTGACCATACTGTGATCGAGATTATTCGTGAATAAAAAAATAGTCGATACATCAGTGAAAAATTTAAGCCCCACCTTGCCACTAACGTTGTCATTTGGTGGCTCTGCTTTGCACTTTTGTGATGGTGGGCTCTGACCTGATGACGGGCTACTCTCTTCTGTACTCGGTGACTCTGTATCAGAGCTTGTTTCATTCATAAAACAAATTTGTAGATTCATCCCTGAGTAAAGTAGATAATTAGTGGGATGTTAAAACATTTTTAATGTCTAATTTTACCATTTTGAAGTCTGGTTTGAAGGCTGGGCTTTTTCGTAGATCTAGTCCCGTAGTATTCATCCGAATCACAACCAGAAGCCAACCTCCGCCTGATTTCCTCCCTCTCATTTCTCCTCTGAAACATTATTATATTTAAATTTAAAAAAAAAAATTGTCTCAATATTAAATGGCCTCTCAATAGTGGCAAGAACTATTATGTGAATTAATTGTAATATTACAAATGGTTATATCTGCTAAAACACAAAGAGTACTAAACCCGTTAGCCGAGGAAAGATATAAAAAAAAAATGAAAGCATCCACACTTGGTATACTGATGTACCTAAACTCAAATTTCAAAAATCTTTTGAATAGACAATAGAAAATTAAGTCCTAGAAAACCTAATATACCTAATATAGGTCATGGGGCAGTCATCTAGTGTTCCAACATTTGTATGGTAAAAATATTTACACTAATGAAAGAACTCACTAATTAGCACAAATCCAGTAGTTTAGGCGTTTATGATCATTTCATTTATGCATCATTGCTATGTTTGGTCTGTTATATGTTGGTCTAACCTACGTTTCTATTATTCACTGAGAAGCGCTGCAGAATCCATAAAAAAACCTAACAAAAGCAACGCCAGTGAGTTTGCAAATTATTTGTTTAACATATACATCCCTGAAAGAACATGAACATCTAAAAGAAACTATCACAATCGTAATCCCTGCAGTGACGAACAAGAAGTCAAAGGCTGAAATCAACTATAAAAAATTCCAAATTGGTCGGTTTATCAGGTTGCCTAGAAATGCAGTGGTCCAAATGAGGATCATCATTGCAGACTTCAGGCTTAACACAGATCGCTGGTGTTGTCCAAATTATTGCTAAAACTACTATTTAAAAGGGTAATGACAATTATTGAGACGTCTATGGTTGACTAGATCCACCGAATCACACAAGTTATTGAACAAACACTTGAATATAAAATAAGACACTCCATTCCAGCAAACTACTAAAAAATGATTGAATCCTACCTAGCTGACAGGTGCTTTTGAATTAAGCAAAAAGAGGCCTATTCAGATCTCAAACCGATTCATGCTGGAGTGCCACAATTAATGTGTCAAGCCCTGTCCTATATCTTCAATAGTGATTCCTATATCTTCCTAGCTCTTCAATAGTGATCTACCAGAAAACAAGGATAATATCAGAGCAATGTTTGTTGATATATGTTGATACAACATACATGTATGTTGATACAGATACATTTGGCAGTTTGAAAAAAAATCGATTTATATTGAATAAACATCAATATCAATTTCCAAATTGATAAATGGATGATAGACAAAATGGAGAATAAATCCTCACTATCGCTGGATGGCGAAACTTGTTCTACACCTGCTGAACTGATTGGCTCTGATCAATCGTCATGTATTCATCCACAATTCACCGTAGACCGACAAACACCACAACTCATTCTATACAACAAAAGCATACACTTTCAAATATGAACCAAAACTTAGACACATCTGACTGGCCTAACCAGCAAGTACACATGGTTTATGTACTCGTCCATGGCTTCATAAACAGCCTCTTCATCCAAGGCTCATGGAGCAGCAACTCATAATCCAAAGTCATGTACATAGCTTCTTCAGCAAGGACCCAAGTTCCACACCCTCCGAGTTCATCAATGCAGTTCTACATCTAAAGTCCTTATTCAGACTCAGCAGTGAGATGTCACCTGAGTCCCATTGAGGAGTTTGGCATCGGAAGAGGGCCTACAGCGATCCACCATCACTAAGGTCTATGATAGGCGTAGCAACATGTAAATGGTCTAGTATCAGCAGTTTTCAATGTTTTTCACTTACATTCCTGTAACTGTCCCTTCCACAGTTGTTGGCTGGATCTTCGACAACTCGGATAAAATCGTGTAGGGAAACGCCCGGTTTCTGAAAGTTCTGCCGGTAGCTGTCGTAGTCGACCCAGACGGTCTTGTCGTCGACCAGGGTCGGCCAATACAGTTTGGTCGGTTTGTCGCGGCTGGACGAGGGGCCCGGTCCGCTAGGCATCGCTTCTTTGCTCTCCGCTTTGACGCCTCCACCTCCAACGAAGGAAGTCTTTATGCTGTCCACGACGAGGGCGGTCTTCGCCTTCACGTTTTTCGACAGAAGAGACTCGTTCAAATGTGCCAGCCAATTTTCAAACATGGCATCGCATCATGTTCTTCCAAGTGTCGGAAAAAATTGTCGTGACAGCAAAGGACGCGTTGTCTTTGTTTATGTTTTGACTGTTTCCAAACCAGCAGGTCCGTTGGCGATTCCTGTCCGCAGGGGATCCGTAAGAAAGACCTGATGATGTCACAAACTTCCAAGGTGACCGTGCTTGTCATCAGATGCGACAGCATACTGGGATAATCGAACTTGAATTTTCGGCTTTAATAAACATTTGATTTAATTTCATATTTACTTCTATGTTGAGGCGGAAGAAGGTGCATGTAGGACCTGTTCTTCTGATGTAATGCCGTTCCTTAATCGCTTGGGATATGTTGACTTATAAAGCCATAAAAGCATCAGAATTTCGAGAAATTTGTGATAATTTTAAATTCTTCTCTTTGAACAAGACTATCAATGCAGAGAAGAATCTGTGGTGTGCATTATTGGTACAGGCAAGGTAAAATTACACCTCCGTTATTCTAGGAAGTGGAAGTTAACTTGTTATACATAGATCGACGACCAAAGCATTAAGATGTTCGAGGTGTTGTAATATATTGTGTCCTTGGAGAGCATTTTTTTTATTATTCTATTTTTTGGAGTATTCCCTATTCCGTACTTATAGGAGAGTGGATTTAAAAAACTTTTTTTAAATCTCAAAATTGTGTTGACCACGTTTGACGAGCATCATTATACGTGCATGTATATTTTATAATGATGCTGGTTGATCTGGGAGTAGCTCAACTTATATAGAACTGATCAGCACATCAATTTACATTTTTCCATTATTGATTGATGGTTTCTTATGTTGTATTTACACGGGTTATTTGTATGGAGTGCAGCAAAAGGAAATAGACGGGGTCAGTAAGAGTTTCAACTCCTCATGACTTGAAGCTCTTGTATGGTTCACGTACGGCTCAAAGATGGGAAATGGCACGAGAATGGGCATAAAGGGGGGGGGGCCTTCTCGGCCCCACCACGACCATTTTTCAAGTCGAACTAGCCATAGTGAACGTGAATAAATAATAAAAATCTCAAATGTGCAACAGTATTAATTCTTTCAGACAGCCTGGCAGCTCTAAAGGCTGGCTCTCCATGCTTACGATATCACTTTAAAAAAACCAGACTCTTTCAAATGGCCTAATGCTAAAGCGGCGGGTCCCAGGTCATGAGGGGGCATTACAAGCAACGAGGCAGCAGATATACTTGCCAAAAAAGGAGCCTCGGAACAACTTATATGCTCAGATCAAGTTAAAAAAAAACCTGTTGGGTGAAAGAAGAAATTCTACTTAACAGAAAAGAATTAAAACTTTAAAATTTTCTAAAAACTGACTTGTACACGCCAGTAAAATACCACAAAAAATGGGATTATCAACAAATGATTAATGCAGATGACTTCTAAAGGCGGCAAAGACGACAGAACATATCCTATGCAACTGTCTCCCAATTACTATGAAAAGGCTGTGGCACCTGGGAAAACTGCTCTTGACCCTTGCATCTATTGATACCATATCACTGAGAAGAATCATAAAAGAAATTAAAATCTTCCATTATCGAAGATCGGCCCTTAAGAACGTTTAAGTATTAAAAGGTGTAATCCCGACGCTCTTGCGAAGGAAGTACGAAGGAAAACCTCCTCACTGATAATTTAGTAACAATATGAGTTGGAAAGCATTTCTTATGAAGCGTATACAAAGTGAATACGAGTTAACTATCGGAAGCAATTTGAAAGTCCCAGGTCATCTTTTATTTATTTATTTTTTTTCGCAACAGCAGAGGTTATATCAACCCTCGGGGTGCCGGTGTTTTTGAAAAAAAGCCCATTTGTAAGTATGTCGAGTTCGAATGCAGGGCAGGGCCGCTGGATTCGAACCCGGGACCTTTACCTTACAGTGATGATCGCCGTGTCAACGCCTAAACCGTTGCGGCCACCGATACCCCCCTTGTGTTGTGAGTTCTTTGTCTTTTAGTTTTCTTTGTTATTTACACAACTGGTCCCAGTTTTTAGCAATCAGTTAGTAGTCAAGGTTCCTCTCTATGTTAATGTAGGTAATTTTTCACTGTCATCTCCTATTGTGGACGTATACCTTTAGACTTGCATACTACTTCATCATCTTCAGCCGATACGGACGAAGCAATTTAATTCGGCAGGTTTGATATTGAAAAATTGTCATTACAAGCTGATAAAAATGTCATAACTATTGATAGTGAAATGAATATCTAATATGGTATTTTCTCGGTGATATACCAGGATTGATATATCAGTAATTTACGCACGAACTATACCTAATTAAAAAATAAAATACTAGAGTTAGAATAATAGTGCATAAATATAGGGAAGTGAAAGGAGCAAACTATACGTACTATCTTAAAAAAGCGATTTTTGATGAAAAATTAAATAACATTTAACAAGAGTTGAGTAATTAAGGCTTAGCAACTCGGATCTGAGCGTCATCATGATGACAACACAAGATATAATCTATATAAGCTTGATCGCGGTTTCTTGTTTCACAAAAGTTAGTAATACTTCCAAATGTTGCAATGCTCGTGGATTGCCGTTTTCATTTTAATAAAGGGCATTGCCTTGGACTGTTATTAAACATTTCTCTCCCGTCCGTGCTGTACCGGTAGAAACCCCTTCATTAATTATTCATTAACATACCGTTGGGAACTACTGGGCCCTTACAACTCATATTTTAACCTAACTTACCTCAGTAAATCACTGATATTGTTTCTAGAAAAAATAAGACGATATAAAAAGTGCCTGGGTTATTGTTAACTTAAAAGCGATTTACGTAAACAGAGTCGACAAACCAATATCCTTTGAATTTGTTGTTTTTCCATGCAGAAGCGTGCATAATAGTCAGTTTCCTGGGGCGGGCCTGTAACTAAAAATTGCGAAACGCGGGAATAGATGAACCACGAGGATCAGGTTAGAAATTTTTAACAGCCAAAACATCACCCAAAACACGCTTTCACACAAACAATGTGTGTGAACACAGTTTAATTGTTTTAGGTTTCATGATAAAAAGAAAACATTAAATAGAACAGAGGACTAAAGATGTCATAAGAAAAGCCTAAATAAGATCACAATACAAAATATTTAAGGAAATCAAAGTCGTCTAATAATAAGAGAAAAAAACTAAAGAACATAAGCACATTTAGTACCAAAAGTACAGCGATTGACCAACTTTTCACCAAAGAGCCATTATTACAAGAATACAAATTTTTTAAACACTTTAAATCAGGCGTAAAAAGCAGATATTCGTTTGGGATAGAAGCTGCTGTACGTTCTTCATGGGCAGCAGAAACTGCACACTTAACGTTTAAATGTTACGAATCCTAACAGAATATTTAACCTTAAGATCACTCGTCTTTTCTTTTTAGTTTTCTAACACAACTATTCTTTAAAAATTGTTTTGCAAGAAATGTACACACACGGACAATATGGCTGACCGACCGAACTCCTATGACCATCAGGCTTTGATCCGCATGAAATTGAACAATAGCTGCTGACGCGATTGTGACAGTGTTATTAGAGCATACATCTCACATAGAATGTGTTTACAAAAGAAATGTTTACAAATATTTTTGTGTGTGTTAAAGTTACATGGGTTTGTAGCATATAACAACTAGTTTATGTTATATTGAATAGTAAAGATCTCTTCATTGTAATTATAATTCCTTGGCTGTAAGTGACCTCAGGTGTTATTATTGATAAAAGAAGAGAGGGATGCAAGCAGATACTGTAAACTTCTTAATTATCAGGCCATTCACTCACCTCTGCTATGTCTCCTAAAGAAGCTAAGGTCTCATGGTTGTCGTAAGTCAGAGTGTAGAGGTCTAGAACAAATCTGGAATCCTTTTTGTAATGTCTTTTCATGAACCTCGCCGACTGGGTCGTACATAGCGGGTTGATGACACTGGTACCCATGACAGTCCTGATCGGCGTCTAACCACTGCCGACAGTGGTACCTCGAAACCGCATCGAGAAGTCACACTTCTTTCCCATTTAGACGGTGTTCGTTGTCAGTTTACAAGTCGTCCTTTAACGGTAGAACGATTTTGAAAGTGGGGAACGTGAAAGTGGGGGCATAGCGAAATGTCCTTTCGTTCCTTCTCTCCTTCTGGAAGGAGGTATTATATTAAGAGATATTACGAGATTCGAAAGTCTCTGCCCTTACACGACCGCAAAGAAGTCACTTACGTCCAGAGTTACGTGTTCTACTCCGGCTTTTTGTATAGACCCAGCAAATGTGCCAACGAGTGGCTGACTAAAATCAATATATGATTATTAAATTTTCCCCGTGAAAAGTGAAAGTTTCGCAATTAACGTCCATAAGATTTTGAAAGAGCATAAGACCTGTTTGTCATCTCGGCTTAATTAACATGCTTTCTCCTGCATCTCTCCCAAATGAGTTTTATTTATTTAAAAAGGATACGAATGCACAATCTCGCCTTTATCGAAATCTGCTGGGAAATCAGCAAGAAATATACAATTGTTACTCCTTGTGTTTTTCAATGATTTTCTGTGTACTTGAGAGTACGTGCACACGATTATTTACGCTTGATGAAACAGCGGCTGTTTTGCGTCCCCGAGTCTGGTCATTAAACAAGAAAAGCTATTAATTCAATTTTTTAAGGTTTAAATTTATTAAGGTTTAAAATAAAGCCGTGATAGTTATCGTTGGAGAGCTAACTTTTTGCGGCGAGTTGAGTTTAATATGTATGATCGTATAGCTATGATATACGGAAGCAATCCGACGTAAAGCCGTTCTATATAGCAGGATTTACTTTATTTTTACCATACGTTTTTAATGTACAGGTATGCAGAACTCGATTTACAAGGATTAGGATTATCAGGGCTATGGGCAAATATCATCGCTGAATAATACGATGTTGCTTCTTGCTGATTGATCGGTTTATGTTGTTCTTTTGATAACAGATCTTACATCACCAAAATTGGATCCTTTATTCCAGTTTGTCTTTATATGGATATAACGCTCGAACTGATCAATTATAATAATTGTGCAACTAATACGTCCACTGTCATTATGTCATTATTCATTAGTATCAATTAATTATGTTCTATACCTCTAACAGTCTCAATGATTTCAACTAATTAATTAAAAATCAACTGGCTTATTGAAACACAATAGCTTGTTCAGAGGGTAGCGGTAGTTTTAGGTTTAAATTCTCTATTAAAGCATGCAGAGAAGTTTTCTTCGTTTTTAAGCAAGCTGGATTGCATAAAGCGATAACAACTTTAACAAAAAATGTGTATTTTATGCCAAATGTTCAGAGTGGTAAAGCAAACTTTTTTAACGTTGATTCATATTTAGATATTGGGTTAACCAACAATGTACTTTTAATTGACAGTTTTAGTTATTATGTTAGTCAAAACATAGAATAGTAACAAATAAATACACGGATGCTCAGAGCGAAGATTTCAAGTACGTTTAGTGAAGCGGCAAAAATTTGGGGGACGAGCTTCAAGGCAAACCTTCAGATCTCTCTTTTCCCGATAAAATTGTTTAAATAAAAATACTACAATAATGCATCCGACATATTTTTCGACCACAGACGTCAAACTCGCCTAGAACTATGCAAGACACGTCATGGAATATCTATTAACACTGTTCAAAAAATCAATAAGAAAAATTCTTAACCCAATTTTTAATCTAAAATTATTTGTTTTTGAATTGATAAATTCAACTCACTCTTTTCTCTTCTTCTCTAGCAGCTTTGAGGTGCGTTTCGATCGATTCCAAGTCAAGCTTTGGCATGTAAGTCTCTATGTTGCTTACGTCGAAACCACCTGATAAAAAAAAAGAAGTAAAAATAAAAACAATGAATACAATTTTTTTTTAAATATTTTCAAAATGGAGAATCAGACCTAATGGTAGCAAGACTGAGACAGTACTGTTGTTACTAATCATAATAAATAACTCGCCAATACCTTGGGGTAAAAATGTAAAATATCTTGGAATGTATCTGAATTCGAGACTTAATTTTAGTTATCATATTTTTAAAAAAAAGTCCACAAGTCTGAACCATCTTAATGTGTTTTGTGTAATGCCTTGGGCTTTTTGAATATATTTCCCCCCATATTTTAAGATAAAATTATCCTTATGTTTAATGTAAACGAGGTGAAAAATGTGCAGTAATGCCCTGGAACCGACTGAATACAATTATCTAAACGCATTACAAAAAACAAAACTTATATGCAATAAAATTCATACATACAAACAAATTAATGAATTATATAATATCAATATTGTAGAATTACATAACATACATGAAATTAAGTTTGTTTCATAGAATTCACACGAAGTTTGGTACAAATAATATCGATTAAATCGAATAGTAAAGTAGATTTTAAACTTTACCTCCACGTAAGTGTTTCTGTTTTCCTTTGCTGAATTCCTCGTCATCGTTTACTTTCTCGCATTTTCGCATATCGTCTTCGCCTTTTTCCTCCTCCTGTGCATTGTCCGGGAAGTGGGAGTTGCATTGGACGTTGTCGAACCGCCTTGGTTTTTTGCACAATCCATCGTTGTGGAGCATCTCCGAGTTGATCTTCTTGAAGTCCAACAGGGAGAGTTTCGGTTTTGTATAAATCTCTTTCAAACCTCCCAAATCTTTTATAAAGAGGTTCGCTGTATCTATTTCTTTGTCGTCGTCCTCGTTATCATTATTGTCGAAACCGCGTGAATTGTTGTCAACACTCTGGTTCTCTCGTATGTTGACGTTGTTGATGTTGTTATTGCGGCTTTCTTTGTTTATGTTGTTGCTATTTAAATCGATTGAACATGTCTGGTGGGCATGTTGACGTTCAGGATCGTTTGTTTGGGAGAAGCCGAATCTTTTACGGGGTTGTATTTCCCAATTCTCGTTCCAATCGTCTCGAATGTTCTCTGAAAAATACTTTAAAGCTGATCAATCTAGCTACAAATAAATTAATAGTTATTTTTAATTACATAAATTAGATGAGAGAGAAAGATAAAAAGGTAAAGGTTCCATGTTTTACTTCAATAATGGTTACTGTAAACATTCTAGACTACTTTAATATTAATACTTCTTAGTAATTATTAAATTATTATTTTGAATAACCAGAAAATACACCAGAATGTACTTTTATTGCTATAAAGGTCAAACAATAATACAAGTCAAAAACTACTTATTGTATTAACACCTAGCTGGATTTAGATGAAAAATTAGAGACAAAAATGCTTGTCTGTCGGTCTGTGCTTTCATGCTTACTAAAATGCTATTGCGAATAGCACGTTATAACACACTGGGCTTCTATTTATAAGCAGAAACGAACAGACTTTAAAATACTAGCTACAGAAGTTAAATTTTGAACACAGAACGTCAATTTAGCCACATTTTCACATTTGTGAATGCGACCGTCTACAAGAAAACCATAAACATATCATCTTTTAGATAAAACATCAAAGAAATTTTATTTTATAAAATTCACATAAAGTCATGCACATTACCGAAAAAAACATGCCCACTGGATCAAAATATACAAGTACCTTACCATGATTAATTCATAGTGCAAGCATATAATGTTTTTCTTCAAAAATCTTATCCAAAAATACTAAAATTTTTTAAAAGACTATTTTGCCAGATGAATTTTTACTGTCAACAGTAAATTTAAAACTGACAATAAAAATAAAATTATTAATGTGCTCTACAAATGGACTGTAAGGCACATCGGTATCGAGTAAATTTCATACATAAATATTTAAAAAATTCAAAAATATAATCTTTGTGGTTGGAAAATTGTTTTTTAGACATCTAGATGCGAGTTCCAAAAAATATTTTTGTACGTAACGATAGCTGATAGTGTCACAAAACACTGTGAGATAAGTTCGGAAGTAAACTATCTTTTACAACTTGTTGTCCTGTATTTAAAGTTTAAAAAACTGATATATTTTGTTATGATTTAATTTGTTAGTAATTTTCCGGAGGGATAAGTGTCGTTATCTTTTGGTAGCCGCATATTTATAAAAACTATTACCTTCTTCAATTTTTGGTCTTGTTTTGGTAAAACCATTTTCTTCTCAATATATTTTCTAGTTCAGAGTAGTTGATACACAGTACACAATTAATCCCTTCTTTCTTATTGGCATTCCAACTCCATTGATCTCTAAAATAAAAATAAAATGAAATCAAAAATGCACAGGGCAATTGTAGAAAAGTGTGTACCACATAATTGAAAAATTGCTTTGGGAAGGGGTAAATTGTTAATGAAAAATAGTTTATTGGTTGGTTAATAAAATTTAAAAAAAATTGTAAAAAGGTTTAGGAAAAATTTTCTTTTCGACAAAGAAATGTACATTTTGTTAATGTTATCTCGTTTTAATGATCCGTTATTTTAACCAGATCGTGACAAACCTGAACAAAAACCAATAATTACAATGGATAATTGGACAGTTTGTTAATAAACAATACTAGGGTATGTAATTTGGTCGTTCCCGATCATTTTTTCTCTATATCCTTGCTGGATTGGTCTGTCTGTCAGACTTGTATATGCATTTCGCCATCTTCAGTGTTGACCTGTGTGATTTTTGTGACGTAAAGTTTTTTAGTAAAAATAATTTCAGCTTACAGGTACCATGTAGGTACCTCATATTGTACAAGGATAGGGACAAATTAAACTATAGATTTACCTCCCTATTTTTTTTTAATTTTTGATTATTTTATTTGAACCCTGTATATATTTGCACATATTACAAATGTGATCACAAAACGTGTTTTGTTTCTCACGATCACAGCACTAACGCTAATGTACCCGGAAGACACATACCATGAGAAACCAGCCTATGTTGGCATTCAATGTGAGGGTTTAAGGGGCAAGGAGGTCTCGAGGCTATCGTCGTTTAAGGCGACGTGGCGGGTTCTCGGCATGGGAATGTGTAGAGAGGGCTCGAGCAGTATGGTTAGAAAGGATCGATTGGTTGGTGTAACGCTTGGAACCGGGAACGGATCAGTCCGTTGATAAAAGTAATATTGAGGTCGTTGTGGATTGTGAGGCTAGTGATCCAATAAGAAGTTTTTACTATTTGTCTGAGGACATTTGATTGGAAGGATTGGATGCTTTGGATGCTGGAAAACTTGGCAGAACCCCACTATCCCACTCCGTATGTCCATAGTGGTCGCAAGTCTAGTATAAGATTAGTTTAGTGTTGACGGTCAAGACGGATTTCGATCCTGGAAGTTTTTGTAGTTGTCCAAGCCAGTTGTTGAGTAGTTCAACACGTGTATGGGTATTCCATGTTAGTCTCCTGTCTAGGTACAGTCCTATTGAGTCTACTTGATTTGAATGGAAGTCGGTATCTACTGTTAAAATAAAGTGGAGGGTAAAACTGATTTTTCAATGTGAACTTACACTGAGTTCACTTAACACCATTCTTCAATAAGCTCAAAGTGTTTTTGGATATTGAAGGTAGCTTGGACAGGATTCGAGTTAAAGGACATAATTGCGGTATCGCCCGCGTAGATGAGAAGTACAAATGACGTAAGGGATGGGCCTAATCAATGCTCCCTTCTGGGACGCGGGCTTGTATTTGTCTGATTTTCGAGAACCGGTTGCTGCACCTCAATCCGAAGTATCGGTCGGTTAGATAGAATTTCGGATTAAGGTAATAAGGAGTGGGTAGGAAGCGATGTCCCCGAGTGCCAGACCCTATCAAAAGCCTCTGCGTTACATTTAGGAACGCACCCAAGGAATACTCTTCATTCTCTAGAGCAAAGAAGATAGTGTCGATAACTCTGAAACCTTGTTGGACTGTGGGTTGATGAAGACGGAAGCCAAATTTGTCAGAAGGAATGATTTTATGTATTAGGCTGGATAAGCGCTTTTAATGGATTTTGGACATAGAAGGAAGAAGGCTGATGGGTCTGTAACAGGATATATGGTTGGGAGGTTTCTATGCTTTAGGAATGAGAAAAACGGCGGCCTATTCGATAAGAGAGGATAGTGAGTGGCTAGGAGGATGGCGTATATTGTGGTTAAGAAAACTGTCCTTTTGAGGGAGGTTTTAAAGTATGGTAGAGGTTTAGATCATGCCCAGAGGATTTTCTACTTGGGAATTTTGAACGTACCTACTAAATAGCGAGTTGATTTGAAATAAATATTTTTTCTTCAAGACAACCTAATTTGTTTAATTATTTATAAATTTACACACTTAATAATAAGTAATTCTTTAGAATAGCCAGAGCATGAGCAAAATACTCTGGTTATAATAAATAAAATTGATGAATGAATTAATAGTTGAAAACTATACTTTTTATTGAAGGTCTTATTCCACACAAATAAAATAAAACTGCACACCCGTTTTTTAATACCAACCATACTCTTAATTGCTCAGCAATTTAAGAATAATTAACGTCCGTTAAGAATTGAAATTAGTATGCAAAATAAAACACTGAAAACAATCAAAAATTAGGATATATTTGCTAAAAGATTATTAAAAAATCGAATGAAAGAAACACGCCGGATATTTATTTAGGTAAGGATTAAAATTATGTCATAATAACATGATTGTATCTACATGTGATGTGACGCAAGCGAACGTTAATTGCAATTAAAGATCATTGGCCCAAGTAAAATAAGGTTTGATTAATGAAGTAGTCATAATATTTTCCTAAGTTCGACAGTCCTAACCATCCCGGGAGCACTGTTCAACAATCAGATCTGGTAAAAAAAAATTCTTGCCCGGATAATTGTCTGTGTATAAAAGATTGATGCGGATAAGAAAAAAATTGGGCCAATGAGCTTTTCAGGGAGTAGGGCTACAATAAAGAAATCTTTGAGACAATGAAAACCTAATAAACTTTCTATTATCAGGGAATATTAAAATTACATTTCTTATTCAAACAGAAATATGCATTTATATCAAAACTAAATATTATGAGAATAATGAACTTAGGGTTTTCTAGGCAAAAGTTGGTACAAATATAAATATTTGGGTGTTCATGTTTAATAAGTTGACATTAAAGTCGTACAATTTTCAATAGTTCTTTTGCTTTAAGATCAAGTTAGTGTATTATAACCTTCAAAAATTACAAAAACCTTGAAGCTGAAAAGACATAGAGGTACACGATTCGTTACAAGTTAAAAAATATACTTTGGAAGTAAACATCAAATGAAGTGGTAAATAACGATTGCATAGATATTAATACCATATCATCGATAATAAATTTTTTCATTATTTCATAATACATCCTAGGACAAAAGCTGGTCTTTCTTATATTACAACATACTAATTTCAATGTAAACCACATTAAAAGAGATCAAAAACTCACGAGTCTTAATAAAATTTGTATAATTATGATGTTTTAAAAGAAAGTTCACCAAAACACTGGAAATTATTTAGTGATAGATTAAAATTTGAGTAACAATTTATTGCCAGCTGTGCTCTTTGTAACGCGTATTACATCCCCTAGATTCGCGGAGGGCCTTAAGTGGCATAGGCATCGTGAAACAGAATCCCATTCTTCAATGAGAACGGGTTGAAGCTGTTCTAGATGTAGGTGCCGTTTAGATCACTTCTCCTTATCACGTTACATAAGAGCTCTATAAAATTCATGTCAGGAGAACGTGCTGGCCGATTGATTGTGGTACTTCCTCCAAGTAATGAGTGTCAACTCGGGCTATATGCGGTCGAGAAAAAACAAATAAAAAACCAGACACTCCTATTTTGTTATTCATTTCAATCTACATGCATTTTTCTTGTTGTATTAATACTCATTTTAATATTAACCAAATTAAAAGAGACAGAAATTCGTAATTTTGTCTAACCCATCTATTTATGGTGGCCCATAAGAGTTCTAATCTAATTGTGGTAATCTCTAGATCCTCCAAGCAGTAAGTGACCGATCGAGCATCATGCATTAACACGAT